AATTCCACCCTGGATCAGAGACAATTAGCATCATTTTAGTGGAACAATTGTCTTTACAGCTGACTGAGAAGTGAACGCCATGCATTTGAGCTAAGACAGCAGTAAATTGCAAAAACTGCAGACACATAAAAAGAGCTTAAGCTGAGAAAAGGTAAAGAGATGCTTGTCTGAAATATGCAGTTGTAATCCTCGTCCTCGAGTGCATCTGTTCTGTATTCACTGCAGGCCGCGGGTCCGCTAAGCCGCCGAATATTAACTAAGGCGGCGGAAACTGGATTTAAGATCAAATTTAAAATCACAATCGATTAACTGAGCTGAGATAATCAAAAAGTTAACTCTTATATAAATAAAAGATAAAAGTGAAAAACAGAATACAAATAGACACACTTTCTGTATTCAGCAGGCCACTTCACATTAGGATTATTTATTTTTGTACACGGAAGGGAAACAGATTTGCTCCTCTTGATGCTAAGCTAACCCTCTTTGGCCTGTAGCTTTATATTTATTGTATAGACATGAGTAGTATTGATCTTCTTATCCAACCCCTTAGAGGAAAAGCAAATATATGGCGTCATTATCATAGTGCAGGTCTGTCCATATCTGTAGTTTAAAGGTGTGTGGGCCGACTCAAACTCTACCTTCTTCTTGGATTTGAAGACATTACATCTGAAGGAATTACTGGAGCCATCCCTTGCGATGTAGCTGAAGATCTTTAAGTCCTGGGAGTCATGAGAGACGTAGAAAATCCTGGAAAACATGACAGCATATTTAAATACTCAGATCCATCAGGTTCACCACTATCCTCCAAATGACTAATTACATAAATAAATCATGAAGAAAGAACCAGCCTGATTTAGAGGCAAGTAAAAGGCGGATGTTTACATAGATACATGCCACTACACTGCTTGTGTTTTCTACTGTACAGGCATGCTGTCCCGTCTGCTTCTGTCCTTGCCAGAAACCCTCCGCTACCAACTCTCTGCGGTAAACTGGCAAAGCAAAGGGTCAAGGCTTCATCTCCATCTGTAGCTCCGCTGCTGTAAAATGTTCCCCGCTGGGAATCGGGCAAACAAATTAGAACCATTCACTGCTGACACACACGCTCACATACGCGGAAGACGCGAGCGAGGATAATTGCATTTAACACACGCATTCCCTTGATGAAGCGTGGGTTTGCCGAGCGAGATCCTCCCACAGATTTATCCATAATTTACAAACAGACACACAAATCTCCCAGAGCTGGTGCCTCAGCAGCGTCTGACAGGTACTGCAATTTTGACACTTTACACTTAAATTGCTGCTAGACGCTTTGCATTTCACGTGTCCATTCATGACAAGCATCGGCATGCAACCGCACAAGATGCTCGGAGGCCTTAATGAATGCATTTCCTTTTGCTCGCAAATGGCAGATATTTTGTCAAACGGAAACATAATTGCGCACTTGGTCTGCAAACTGCAAATTACAAATGCAATCTGAGAGAAAACTGCGCACTTTAAACATATGCTCTGCCATTTACATGCACAAGCTATGGATTATTCATTATGAATGTAACTGCATTTGGCATATATGGCGCATCGGAGCACATTAGCCGTGTATAGTAAAGCACATGTGGGGGACCTGAGCACGCCTCGGCTTCATCCGTGGAGGCTGAGCTGGAGGATGTACATGATTTCCACTGAGAGGCATATGTTAGGTATTATCTGCAGTATGCTCACAGTAATTACTTTGGTTAAAGCTAACGTGCACATGAAGACTGCGAAGGACGCGCCGGGCTGAATATCACACAGTTTCATCCCCCGAGACAAGGTGCAAGGATATGAGATTTAATATATGTTTTAAGATATGAATTTGAGAGAGTTGGAGCGATGCAACGGACCTGTATATCGGATCGTGCATGATCAGCATTTTGCTCTCGTCCCACGTCCACTCTTTTCTCTGTGTGTGAAACAAACGGACATCGTTAAGCACACATGAAGAACTTACATCTTTATTATTACTTGTATACTAGTAGCGGATATTTTCAGAAGGCAGTAGAAAATTTCACATTTCATTAGCGACTTACTTTCTGTTTCTTCCTCAGCATCACCTTGACCCCGTCCACTGACACCACGATGCTGACCTTCTTCTTCTTGATGTTCTTGGCCTTGAATTCATACTAAAGCAAACAAAAAGAAGGACATCATATTAGTAACACATATTAACAGCATCATATTTTTCTGTGACACGACAGACGACTTAAAGAAGCGACATGCTGCATGATAGTAAATTAAGCTTTCATATTGTTGTTGGTGGTTTCATTGAGACTATTAGGGTGCAGGTGATCACACATAACTACAGAATAAGCACAATAAATGAATCATTGTCTTGCAAGAGTTTAGAGACCACCCAAAGGAAAGGAAAATATGATCCGTTTTGTGTCCACCCTGCTTCCCCTCGACATAACTGAGCTTAATTTAACATCAATATGAGATTTTGACCATCTTCTCATCCCCCTTAACACAGATCCTCCGTCTTATCTCAACTCAAACCCAGTTTAAGATCTTAAAATGCTCTTTTTTTTCTCCGCTCTCACTCCACTGATCTTTAATTGTGTGAAATAATCAGCTCTTGAGCCAACAGTAAGATCCGAAATAGAACTTGATTGGTTTGTAAATGAGCCTGAAGAATATCTGAAATTTATCTCATCCATCAAAGTCTAGCCTCAACGCTGTGTATTTCATCTGTTCTCAGTGTTCATATTCCTCAATGATTTGTCCCAAATCTCACAAAAAAAATGCAGGAATCTCGATCTGTATGTGTGTCTGGTCTTTGCATGTCTCAACAATTGGAAATTTAATCCACTTCAGACTTGGCGGGTGTATTTCTGGTGACCTGAGGAAGTGCAGCAGAGAGCGAAAATGTTTGGTTGAACGGTGGCTATTTTTGAGGGTTTTTTTTTTATCAGATTTTAAAATTGGCAGTGACATCTACCATTGATGATCCTGACATGCCTGTGACAACAGACACAGCACTAATTTTGTCAGTATTTTATGAAAGTTGATGTTTGCGTATTTGTCAAAGTTTGATGGAGGAAATGTTGAGGAAACACTGCCAGTATGTGAAGCACAAACTGTTTATTTTCCCTTTGAGTGCACATCTGATGCTTTTCTTGCATTTGTCCTTTTCTCAAATTGTCCAGGATAATTTGCCTTTGAATGATTTATTCTTCTGCTCCTTATTTGTCCAAATAAGAAGATGATTAATTTCTGATGAGAAAAAGAAAAGACTGCTGTGAGCAGCAGAATTTTCCTCTGCTCATGTACTTCACTAAAGAAAAAACTTTCTGTTTGACATCAACAACTAATCTACAGAATTATTCTCAATTGGTACATAATTTGACTTAGAAAATGTGGAAAATGTTCATTTAAATTCTTGTTTTAATCATTTTTTTAAACAAATATATTCACCTCAAGACAAAGAATAACAATAACACTGAAAAGGCTGCAATCAGCAGAACTGTGAAACTTTTTATTGAAAATGTGCCATTAAACAATAAATTAATTATCCAAGTCGTTCCAGAATCATTTTCTGTTAATTGACAAATCTGAGCGGCTGACTACCTGTTTCACCTCTTTGTACGCTCCTAATGCACAATTACACTGCCCACACGTACTCTTACATACCACTTTAGTCTCTTCAGCGTAGAGGTAGATGTCCTGCTTTGGCACGGTGACAGAAATAAGGGCGCAATCTGTCAGCATTAAAACATGATCTGCAGTGCACTTTAATATATTAGCATCTTTAATAGCTTGGCAGCTCACAATAAGAGTTCTGATGAAGTTGGCTGAATGTTTTTAGCCAGCTAAAAAAAAAGCTCTGTGGAGTTCATGAAGAGCGGAGAAAAGTTCACCTTGACTAATGTTCACCAATCAGCCACGATGTTAAAACCATCTGCCTAATATTGTGCCTGATCCACTGGGGCATGGACACACGGGACATTTGCAGTGATCCTTTAAGTGGTGGAGTGGGGCCTCCATAGATCGTGCTTGTTCCGGCACATCCTGTGTATGCTTGACCGGATTTGGATCTGGGAAGTTTGGTGGCCCTGGGCTCTTTGTCGTGTTCCTCAAGCTATTACTGACAAGTTTTTGAAGTGTTATGGGGTGCATTGTCCTGCTAAGGAACCCCGCCATTGTATGCTGCGGAGGGGTGCGCTAATATGCCAGGACCAGAGGTTTCCCCGCAGATCATTGTATAAAGTCGTATATTCTAAATACAGTGACAGAAAAGTAAAATGCGATCACGCACAGCTGAGCCACATCTCTGGTTCTCAGGACACAAACCGGCCCGCTAAATTAAACAACACCATGGAACTAAAAGGCCCAGGATATGGGTTTGTCTCCGTTCTGTTCACTGAGTGGTACACAACAGCTGCGACTGCACTGAGTGACTAACTCGTTTCCACCTCGTCAGCTGGCCGAGCGCTCTGCCGAGGAAACTTAGCAAGTCTGGGCTGTCAGCTCAAATCAGTGTTGCCTTTAAACATGAGGCAGAGTTCAACTGTTTTTAGCTAGCAGCTATCGAGGCCTACAGTGGGACGAGCAGGCCATCGTCATCTATCAGGCCACACAATTCCAAGTGGTGGATTTTTGGGCCATTAAGCTGGTTTCATACCGAGGCCTTGACAAGGTCAAACACGCCTGCAATGTGGGATGCAAGCTAGCTGCAGTGAAATATAGCTTGTTTGGAAATTTAACAGTGTAATACACATTTAAAACAATAGTTTAACATTTTGGAAAGAAGATAATTTGTGTTTTTGACAAGAATATCGATGTATTACTCATGTCTGTCTGTAAAATATGACGCAATGGCTGGTAAGTAATTAGCTTAGCTTAGCTTAGCTTAGCTTAGCGATAAAAACTGAAAATGGGAGTAAATAGCTAACCTGTAACGCTCTCGGATTCATTTTTTTTTTTTTTTAAATCTTGTTCGCTTAATCTGGACATTAACTAAAAGTGTAAAAAACAAAGTTGTGCTTTTGTGGCTTGAGATAGATTGCTTTAGATGCATGCTAGTTGCAAGCTAGCTGCTAGTCTTTGCGTTAAGTTAACGATCAGCTAGCTACAGGCATTAGTAGTATCAATCTTCTCATTTTACTCCCTACAAGAAAGCAAATACATGCACTCCCCACAGTCTCCTAATATTCTATTAATATAATTTACAGAAACAATCCAAAAAATGGAGTTGTGCTCATTTAAAAAAATTTTTTTTGGTCACTTAGGCACGATAAAAATAACTTATAAATGCAACATTTATATATCATCACCATTTAGGTTGATGGGCCTGATTTTTACTGTGCAAACACTATCACAGCGTGAGGGTGCACAGACTGTGGGGGCGTTTCCAAGTGCGCCTGCTATTTTGGCTCATGTAGGTGCAGCAGCATGAAGTGCATGTGGGTGAACTGAAGTGGAATATAAATTCAAGAGTAATTAATTAACTCGCTCGTAGTCAATTAAGTGGCTCACTCTGAAACAGCTTTGCTATTAACAGTTCAACAAATGGAAAGACTCCTCTCCAGCAAATTATACTGTTGTCTCGATGGTGCAGAACACCAGAACCTGAACACACAACACTTTACATATGAAGCCACAAGAACATTGTGGGGGTTTGTATCTAATCTGTATGATAAACATATATAATTTAAAACAAATAGGGCTGATGAAGTGGTTTCTATGCATCAATCTGAGCGATTTCATCTGTCATACATCGTCACTTCATGATGTAAAATGCAGTACAACAATCACACTACTTTTGCTAAAAAGGAATTTGGAAAGGAGGCAATGTGTCTAATGTCTCTCCTATCACCTTTGCATCTTTCGCTTGGCACAAAAATACCTCACGGATATGCAAAGCAAAATCTGCGGTCAGGACATTTGAAACTGCTGCTTATAGTGGTTGTTGCATCACCATGAAAACAGAACCCGATGCGGCAAACTTGTTAACAAACTGTGGCTTATTTACACATCCAACAACTGCATAGCATCATTATCCTTCATATAAAGTTGTGTTTGTGTTCACCTGATGAGTGTGAGTTTATTATTCATGCTGCTTTTAGCTCCATTTTTGGTCTCCACCAACTGTTTTGGTCTCTATTTGGCTGTTTAGGGACTAACTTAACATGACTGACTTTGATATCGATGCTCCACTCCTAGAAACAGAAAACGCCTCATGTAAATAAAAGTACTTGCTTTTCACTGAGGTAAATCTGACCTTTGAACACCTTATTTCCCTTTTTTCAAAATCACCTGAGCATGAGCTGAGCCTGTAGTGTACAGTGGCTTTTGTAGACTATTGTTTTTGAGCATTGTCACACTGATATTATTACGATTATCACTGTGATTATTCTTATCATTATATAATCTGTCTATATAATCTAGATTATTGCAAACATTAATTACGGCATCCTCAGTTGTAATTGGTACCTTAAACGAAATAAAAATATCCCAGGCCCAAGTGCAGGCTCATGTATGTAATTTTTTTCTTTCTGATTTCAAGCAAACTCGTCTTATGTTGACCATTTAGATTTGGACTTCTTAAAAATGCTGCACACAAACTAAGCGGCACTTCCCACTGACGCTGGCAGAGCTTCCCAGAACACAATGAGTGTCCAGACGTTTACCAGCACAGTCTGCCAAAAAATTTGAATATATAGCAAAAGTGAATGGTCTTCAGCCAAATAAATAAAGAGGAGGGAGGAGTGCAAAACAAATGCCAGCACAGAGACAATGAAGGGTAAGAAGACTTAAAAAAAAGTAGGATAGAGAGGATGGTAGCAGAGGTGAGGAGGTAAGAAGAGACAGAAGGAGGTGAAGAAGCAGCTGTCATTATGTAAGGACCTCCTGGAAACTGTGACCTTTTAATCCGGCTAAACAATACCGCCACAGAACAATTAGCTGAGCATTATAAAGTCAAGCCCTACCAGATGTGATTATGAGATAATTTGGGTTCTGTTTGTCTTGCATAGACATGTCCGCACTGTTTTCTGAATTTCTGCGCAGACTGGGGGTAAATAATTGTCATGACATTAAGTCATGACAATTATTTAGTAATTTTTGCCACCCATTTCCATGTTGTGCTTTTCTTTCATGACAAGTTTTCTGCTCGTGATATGCC